GTGGAGTAATGACCAAGCTGAAGCAGGTGCAAAAATCAGCAAATGACTTGGCAATCCCCACTCAATAAGCTTTTTGTACCCTTCAGGAGGAACAAAGTTTATGCTTCTTGAAAGCTTTACAAGACATCCATGTCGGTCAACCGCGGATGGCATTTTCAAGTCCGTTTTGTGTGGCAGGTGTGGGACGGTCAATTATCACCCTCTTTTAAATATATAAGATTTTAAAGCTTTTGGAGGGTGGAAATGCGACCGGGGTACGACAAAGCTCCATGCTAGGATTCTACGGGGAAGGGTGTGCAGAAGAAGAAGCCAAACATGTTCACTGTGGGAAGCTCAACAAGCGCAACTTTTGTCCTACCAGTGTATATATCTGTATATATATATATATCTAAAAGGTTTGCATTATCATCCGGATGATATTCAAACCCCAAGCCAACCCTGAACCAAACCTTATATAAATAGATCTTAAACCAACTCGATGATAACATCAAATGAAACTATTGTGCATCGTTGTGCCTTAACCTACATTCCACAGGTTTCCAAGGTGCATGTCGTGTAGTATATACACCTTGAGTATCACATTCAACCTAGCACCTTGCATGTGAAAATAGGTGTTTCCAATCTGCTTTGGGGGAGGCGCTGCGCCCTCCCCCCCAATCCCCCCCTCCCGTTTTTTTTAATTTAAATTCAAGCTTGCACACATTTCAATACACTAGTTTGGTTAGTATATATATATATACATTATATATATATACACATTATATATATATATATATTGTATATATATATACATATGGTTGTTTATATGCACAGCTTTCATCCCAAAATAAACTGTAAATAATCATGTGCATGCATATGCGTCCACATAAGTATAGTTATTTGTATGTACATGTTGTATCCCTAAATAACCCCTAATCCAACCCTAAACAAACCCTAAACAGACCCTAAACCAGCCCTAAAGAAACCTTAAAACCAACCCTAAATAGACCTTAAACAAATCTAGAATAAACCATGAAACAACCCTAAATAAACCCTAAAACCAAACCCTGCAGATATATATTAATTACACTTGTAAATACATTGATCTACATATGCATATAGTCATGATTAGTCATGCATGTATACCTCTATACATCTACAGTTTATAGTTTGCACATCATGTATCTCCAAAAATCAATGAACACTTCGGAAAAAAACAATGAAAACGATGTAAAAATCAATGAAAACTTTGGAACAATGAATGAAAACCAGTAAAACATGAATGAACACCATACAAAAATTGAAGAAAAACATAGAAAATTCCATTGACAAATGGAAGAAAACCACGGAACAATCGAAGAAGACCATAGAGCAATTGAAGAAAACCATGGAAAAATTGAAGAATACTATGGCAAAATTGACGAAAACCATGGAAAATCCATGAACATCTTGGAAAATTCCATGAAAATCATGGAAAAATCAATGAAAACAATGGAAAACTCGATAAACACCATGGAAAAATTCATGAAACCACTGGAAAAATTGATGAACAGTGCGAATGAGAGATTTTAGCTACAAAATGCAGCAAATGAGAGATTTTAGGTGCAAAAAGCAAGGAAGGGAGCTTGGACGACCAAAAAAAAAAATGCCAAAAAAAATAAAAAATTGCCAACTTAATTTCGCGCCCGAAAAGAAGGAAGGAAGGAACAAAGGAAAGAAGGAAGGAAGGAGGGAGGGAGGGAGGAACGAAGGAAAGAAAAAGGGAAAAGGAAAAAAAAAACTGAATATTTTTTTTTGATGCTTTCGAGCAGCTTGATCTCCCCTAGCCTCGGGGGATCAAGAAAAAATATTTCCAGATCAAAAAAAAATTAAACCTAACCTACCACTAAATTTAGATGAAATAGGCAATAATTTTTTTAAGATCCTAGTGTTTTATTTTTTTTTTGATCTGGATTTTTTTTTTTCTGATCCTCCACTCCCAACCAGCGGTTCTTTTTGATCAAAAGCTGTGATCGGACTCTCTAGATGCTGAATCTGTATCTCCATATCTATGTATCTAATCTATTCTATTCCATGCCATTCCATTCCCTTGAATTCACTTCCATTCTATCCATGTAAAGATCGGTGATAATTTTTTTCGAGTGCCCGAGCCAGGTGACGACCCCCTATGGCATTGTCTACGATGGTATCAAACCGATGTGTTTCGACTTTGACCGCTGGGGCCGGAAGGCCCGGGGTCGGGATTTCAAGCCACCAGGCCCACGAAGCTCAAAGCAATCTAACCTGGAAAAAGCACCTAAAACTTATCCAATCCGATTGAATATTATATATGTTACATGGGATTTTCCAATATATTATAGATTTTCCATATGTATATATATATATAACTTATATATAATAGGATTTTTCCAGCGAAAACCCATGGGGATCTACCATCAAAGGGTCACCGGTTCGCTGGCAGGTCTACCACTTCTTTCCAAACGAAGATGATCCAGGGATGGAGCAGGCTGGGGGCAGGAAACGGTTGAACTTTCATGAACTAAAATAGTAAATGGGGATTCAGCGAAGAAACAAATATATATATATACATACACACACACACTGTGTATCTATGGTATATGTACATATGTATGTATATATATATACATACATATGTACATAGATAGATATGTACATATGTATATATATATATATACATATGTATATATCTATCTATGTACATATGTATGTATATATATACATACATATGTATATATATATGTATATATATATGTATATATATGTATATATATATGTATATATATATATGTATATGTATATGCATATGTGCATATGTATACCCAGGCACAGGACATCGCAACGGACTGATGAGCCTTTAGAGCCTAGGGAAAATCAGAAATTGGACATCGTTTGTAATGTTGAAAGGGTAAACATCATCCTAATGTCCCGGATACAGGTTGATGGTGATTGATCAGAATACCTTTAGCATCCTAACTGGCTGCAGTTCAGGCTATTGCGACTCTGCAGGGAGTGTGAATCGCTGATCCTGTTACACATTTCATTTGAATCAACATTTCGATGGAAAAACTTCTTTCTGCCATGCAAAAACCTGTTTGTTGTTGTTGTTGTTGTTGTTGGTGGTTGTGGTTGGTTGTCGTTGGTTGTTGTTGGTTGTTGTTGGTTGTTGTTGGTTGTTGTTGGTTGTTGTTGGTAGTGGTTGTTGGTTGTTGGTTGTGGGTTGTGGGTTGTGGGTTGTGGTTGTGGTTGTGGTTGTGGTTGTGGTTGTGGTTGTTGTTGTTGTTGTTGTTGTTGTTGTTGTTGTTGTTCTTGTTCTTGTTCTTGTTCTTGTCGTTGGGCGGCTGCAACAAAGTTTTTTCATGAGATCAACGAAAGAAGCACTGATCTTGCAGCCAGGTGGACGGTGACAACGACTAGGCGGGCCACAACGACTGGGGGTAGCTGGTGCTGGTCGGTGCACAGCAGAAAGCTGTTGGGTTTCAATGGGTCTGGGAGTGGTGGGTTTTGGCCAACGCTGGAACCCCTGGAACCTTGGAAGCTGTTGGTTTGCAGAGTTTTGGAATCTTGGTTTCTGATCCCCACAGTCTTCCATGTAGGGCTTCGCACACCGGCGATGCCCCAAGGGGGTCCTGCTGTTGCTGCTGCTGTGCTGTTGTTGCTGTCATGGGTGCATCTTTTTGTTGCCCAACAATTGTCAAATAGGTCGTGTTTTAACTTTTTTTAAGGCTCTCGAGCAAAAAACACTGTAAATGCTGGTGTTTTGGTACCTCGGAAGCCAAACACCACAGTATTTACGTAGTTTTTTGGCCTTGGGAGCGAAAATCACGATATTTGCAATGTTTTTTGCAGCAAAAACACTGGCATTTACGCAGTTTTCAGCATATTGCAAGAAGCATCTTTTCCATGCAAAAAGCACAAACAACTCTGTAAACTACAATGTTTTTGCCTTTGGCATGCACCCAAAAAACAGCAAGAATCAACCAAACAGTGTCCAACATGGACCCTCCAGACCCTACTTTTACCCATGTTTGGCGGATTCGTGGCCCCTCAAAAACGTGAAAATGCCACCAGAGTGGTGCAAGCATGTGCATCAGCGGTGTTTGGCAGGAGTCCAGTGTCAGAACTGGCCAAGGGTACACCATGGCAAGCTGCTCCCAACCGCACCTCCGAGGCCCACGTAGAAAAGTCTAGAGTCTAGCTGTTGAAGCCTGCAGCCGACAGCTCTGGCTGTGTTTCCGGCCTTCTTGTGCTGGCGTTTTGGCTTCTTGCCTTCTTGCTCTGGGCGCTGACTTTCTTATTCTTAAATTCTTAGTCTTACTTGTTCTTGCTCCTTGGGTCGTGTCCCTCTTCCGGTGCTGGCTTCTTGCTCTTGCTACTTGTGTTCGGTCCCCCTTGTGTCGTGAATCCTGCTTGCACACAGTGACCCTGAAGGACAGGCTTTTTGTTCTTCTTTCTATTGATTCTATTGCTTCTTCTTCTTCTTGTTGTTGTTCTTCTTCTTGCTTTCTAGCTTCTTGCTCTTGCAGCCTGTTTTCCTTCTTGCTCTTGCTCCTTCTTTCTCTTGCCTCTCGCTTCTTCTTCTTGCTTTCTAGCTCTGTGCTCTTGCTTCTTCTCCTTGTTTTCTCGCTCTTTACTCTTGCAGCTTGATTTCCTGCTGGCTCTCGCTCCTTCTTTCTCTTGCCTCTTGCTTCTGCTTCTAGCTTGGTAGCTTCTTGAAAACAGTGGTTCTTCCAAAATTGCTTGCGTGCTTGCTTCTTGCTGTCTTCCATTCCTTGCTTGCCTCCTTATCCTTACTCTTGCATCTTGCCATCTTGTTTGCTCTTGCCGCTATGTAACCTTCTGAACTCTGCTTCTTCTTTTCTTCTTCTTCTTCTTCTGCATCCGTTCTCTCAATATCTTGTCTTGCTTTCTCGTGCTGCCTACTTTCTTCTTTCGCCTGCTTCTTTCTCTTGCCTGTTGCTCCTTCTTACTCTTGCAGTTTGCCTTGCAGCGTGCATTCTTCTTTAGTCAGTCTGCTTCTTGCTCTTGCCTCTTGCTTCTGCTTCTTCCATCCTCGTTTCTTGCTCTTGCTTTTTCTTCTTCTTCTTCTTCTTCTTGTTCTTCTTCTTGTTTGCTAGCTTCTTGCTCTTGCCGCTTGCTTTCTTCTTCCCTATCTTGCTTTCGTCTCCTTTCTCTTGGTGCTTGCTTTCTTCTGCAACGTCTTGCTTGCTCTTGCCGTTTGCTTTCTTCTTTCGTCTCCTTCTTTCTCTTGTCTCTTGTCTTGTCTCTTGCTTCTTCTTCTTCTTCTGCCTTGCTTGCTTCTTGCTCGTGCAGCTTGCTTGCTAGCTTTCTTCTTGCCTTTTTCTTGTGTTTGCTAGGCATCTTGTGCTTTCGTCTCCTTCTTTCTCTTGATTTTGCGTCGACACTTGCTGCGTGTAACCTCTTCTCTGACACGCTCCCCCTGCTGTCGACAGGGGTCGGCGGATGTTTTCAGGAAATGGATGAAGGGCCCAGGCGCAAGGGAACCTTTTTCAAGGAAACCCTTTACTCACTCAATGGCTCCGTGCTACATACCATGGTTTCGTGTGAACAAATCCCTTGACCCAAGCTGAACCAACCCCGAAGAAACAGAGTGCAGGTTGGGTGACCAGTGACCATGCAACGTTTTTCCCCTGGCCGAGCTGGCCACGCGTCCAGTGGTGTGGTTTTAGCACGTGCTTCCCCAAGGGAAGGATGTGGCTGCCTGGGATGATCTCAGAGGTTGGTAGATGAGTAACTGAACAACTTCCAATTTCAATCAATTACCCTACAAGTTAAGGGATCTTACAACCCTGAAATAAATCGCTCATAATAATGAGTGATTGTAGAGATTACTTTCTTCCGCATGAAGTTCAGAGATCATCCAGTAGCAGGTTCCCTGAAACACCGAGGAATTGAATGTCTGAATTGATCGCACACCGCCTGGTGTGCTGGATGGGTTGGGCCCGAGATCCCTGACATTCCAAATCATCCAGGTAAGATAGACGCAACGCTTAGATTCTTAGAGGTTCAGCGGTTCAGCAAACCTGGGATGTTCCTGGTAAGTGGTAAACCTGGTGTTTTTTTTAAATACGATCCCCCAAGGTTGATAGCCACGGGTTGTGAATAGCCATCTCATGGTGATTATGGTTAGCATACCTGCTGATCGATTGGACAACCCCAAGGAGTCCAACAGATATAAACAGGTCATACCGGTCATACCCATTTACAGGGAGGAGTTTATTTTCAGGTTGCTGGATCTTTCCTTTGTATTGTCCAGACGAGCCTCCGTCACAGCTAGACGATTTTCTGAGCCACAGCTGACTGGCGATGACCCAGATACCTTCAAAAGGCCATGTGAGGCCTTTGGGTAGCACCGGGCTGACTCCTCCATCCCTGCATATTTTGGCGCCCTGGATCTGGCGAGAAGTTGAGTTGAGAACAGAAACATCCAAAGTCTGGTAAACTAAAATGTGGTGGTTTCCTAAGTATTCTGGGTAGCCCTAAATCATCCACTTCAAAAACTAGGATGGTTCATTTTATTCATCACCCAGCTATTGGGGTATCCCCATTTATAGAAACCCCCCATGTTTCATGGGATGCCCAGTCACTAGTCCAACAAGGGCTGCAATGGCTGCGCAATGGCTGTTGGGTTGTGGCTACCAAAAAGTGATCACCAAGTTGGTAGATCTGAAAAATTGGGATCAATTTGGGCAAGTTGGCACAGTTGGCACCATCACCAGATCCTCCTTTGCGCCCGCGAAGAGTTTGAGATGTGCCACGAGCAAAAAACGCCGGGCTGAAAATTGTCCCCGAACAGTGGCAAGTCACATCTTCAGGTCCGGCTGTTGGATTTCTGAAAAACCTGGCCCTTACACCCACTGATCCATCAACGTGCAGAAAGGACCCTTGCAGAAAGGACCTCCCCTAACAAGGCTCTAATTGCTTAAATCGATGATGAAGTGATGGTGTTTCCCAAGTTTGGGAAAAACTCCAGACACAGCGGCAGACACTGGTGCTTTTGAGAAACTCCCAATGACCGAGCCTTCCAACAAAATGTGGAGAAAAAGGTCTGCCCGCTGCTTAGAGCTGTGCTACGTTTTCATGCATAAAATGAAGGGTACTTCATGGTACTTCAATATACATTCGAGTTGGTTAGAGTGGGTCATGAGTCATAATTGGTCATAATTGAGTCATAACCATCTGAAGTAAGCCACTCTCAAAAATGGGGTTACGATTCCTGGGTCCTGCAGAGAGGAATGTGGCTTTGTCGAAAAATTCGAAAATTCGGCCCCACATAGGATAGTTTATCAGCATTTTTCCCATTACAACAGATATTTAAAGGACATTTCGCATTTTCAGTGTATGAAGCAATCTTGGAGGTTTGTCTAAGTTGGATCGTCTCAAACTAAGGTGGAAGCTGAAGGCTATACCCCTGAGCAGGTGGGATGGTTCGCTCTCCGGTGTCATCAAACATGGGAATCCCGTGCCCAAATGTATGGAGGTAATTCTCCATAGATTGGGCTAGCCGCTAGCCCCCATTTTGGCACAAGGACGCTGCAACGGGAGTAGTCCTCTGCCGTAAACTTGCCCTTCAGTAAACTTGCAGAGATTAACAATCCATGAAAATCCACCAGAAATGCAGATAATTTTCCAAGGGTGATCCACGGATTTCAATATTTTGTCTTGTTAGCCTGCCACAATGTATACACAATGTATACATTTGAAGTTCCAATCCATGGTTTGCACATGGTGCAGTATCCCATGAACTATCCTGTGATACGATTGGGTCTAGGAGTCTCACTTACGCAGCTGGAAGCTTGTTTCTCACAATACTTCGCCTTAGCGCCAAACCCGGCAGGTCCTATTGCAAGCTTCGATTACCATTACCGGCCGTCATCACGAGATAGGTAAAAATATCGATTGGTTTGAGGGAGAATTTTTGAGAAACAGGTCACCATATTTCGTGGTAACAACCATGGTTTTCAGTTTTCACATGTTCCCATCATAACCCATCCATTTGCCATTACCAAACAGCCATTTTAGCTGTTTTCAAAAAGTCGTTTTTTGTGCGCAACGGGTTGCCAGTGCACTCCCCGCTGCCGTAGGCCTGGGAATTCAACAAGTCCCTGCCCACATTGGAGGATCGCCGTTTTTGGCTCTGGGAATGATCCCCAAACATCGCTGAACTTTTGCCAAGTTCAGTAAGATGAAAATCGCTGGATCCAAAAAGGATCATCGCTTAAAACCATCTTTTGGAGGTTGTAAATGGAATGTAAATGGTAGTTTCTAAAGATGATCCTTCAAAAAACATGTTATATATCTGCAAACGTGCTGTTCCCTCATGAGTCCTGATTCGTAGAAAGAATTATATAGGGGCATTTGCCGTGGATATGCGAGACTTGGGGTTGCATGCACAGACAGACCCCAAAGAACCAACACGCCCCGTTGGTTCACTTCGTCAAGTTACAGCGCGCCCTAAAACGTAATTAAGATGTACCCACCAAGAAAGCGTTACGCAGTTGATTTGGTCATAAAAGTGAATATGTTTGGGTTCAAACAGTCAGATTTCTATAGTTTTTCTATAGTTTTTCCGTAGTTTTTCAGAGTTTTTCAAGGCGTCATCCTCTGTTTTTTTTGGGTTCCTATTCCTTTTCGGTGGCGCAGGACTCCTGCGCCATTCGTGTCTGTGGCAGCTGGGAGGAGGCGCCATGGTATCAAAAAAGCCTTAAGAGTGGTACTTTAGAAGCCTCAAGAACAGAGGTATAGGATATTTATAGAATGATATACAACCCTTACGGGTGATGGAAAGCCGCAGGGACTTCAAGATGGGTTAAGCATAACATCCCGGGAATGGTGGTCATAGGATTATGCCCTCAGGTCGTGGTAAAATCCTACACAGAGAGACGTGGTAATTTGGTGATTTTCTGCCAGTTTGGATACCAGAAGGTCTCTTCCATCATGAGTAGTGGATAGTAGTGGTTCACATCCCAGGCTGGCAACAGGGGCACACACCTTATTAGAATGCTGGTCATTCTGGTCATTGACCAGGTTTCTGGGATGAATATATCATATTGGGCAAGAGATCAGCTGATTTTTTTTGGGTGATTGCTAGGGCCAGAGGAATCCATCCTCAAGGTGCACTTCAGAATGAGTTAATCCCAACCATATGCATAGAATGCAGCTCATTTTCATTGAACAGCCGAGGTTCAGGGTCTCACTGAGTTTCGGACAGGTGGAATGAGCGTTGATAAAGTCCTTCTTGCTACAGAGGTCTGCCTCAATAACTGGATGCCCTCTGATAAAGAAAGACGGCTAGGAGCTCCCTATTTTTCCACGCCAGTTTGGGTATGGAACTCAAGCTGGCCACAATCCCGAATCGAGGAACTTTGAACTAGATGACCTAGAAATCACCAATTTTGGGCAGAACCACCAGATTTGACCCAGAAAATCATCCCGAAATGGTGATTTTCAGCCATTTTTTCGGTCATTTTTCGGGCCAGGTGGCAGCTGCATTGCTGGAGGTTTGCCAGGAGGTGCTCGCGGGAAAAAGATCCAAGCCACCAGTGGATCACTGGCTGGACGTGTGATTTAAGTTTCGTTCATTTCGTGGATTTCGTTCCTCCATGTCTAAAGGGTAACGGGTAACTGGACGCTCCAAGAAGGCTTGTTTGAACCGCTAAAAGTCGCTAAAGACTGGAGATTGATCTTCTGAAAGTCGCTAAAAGTCGCCGTTTTTTTGCATGTGGTGGATCTCGCGTGTGGCGGGTTATCAACTTGGGTACCGATGATATGAACACAATATTAGCTATACGGGATTCCGGGATAGATCAACACCATGTTTGGGGGGATGAAGATCCACAAAACCCGGCTATTTTGGTCTGCCAGGCCATGTACATGGGAGCGTCGGCAGCAGGGGTAACCCAGCTACCATCAGTGCACTATGCCGAGTCACATAGTTGTGGTGATTGATGTGAGGCATGATTATGTTGGATAAAGCATCAACTTTGGTGGTCTTTAGAGATTGGGGATTCATTATCTTAATGACTGTGTATGTATGAATATGTATACAGATTATCAAGAGCAGCAACAATGCACATGTGACTTGAAATAGAACAGGTAAATGCCACAACCCCCCAAACAGCTGGTCGTTTTCTTGGCAGGCGGGTTCATGGAACATGGACCCAAAAACCGACATGAGATAGTGCACCTCCTGTCACGGCCTAATCTGGTTGCGGGATTCCAGGGATTCCAACTTGGTGGGCGAATTTGGCCCAGAGAGTTGGCTGAAA